GCTATACAGAACGATCATAGATACTAACCATGCAGCATGTAAATTTGGGAAACTGCAGCAAGGGGGGTTGCATATCGAAAATTACCGAGACTGAGACATTTGTGTCCGCCGTCATTGCTTCCATCCACTGCAGTTAGAAAGCACGGCATTCCAGAGTGTCCATCATTGTAGGTTCGGCATCTACAGCCATATCCCCCATCAATGGCAGGTGTTTTAGTAGTACGTCCGCACCCATTCCCCTTCGCATCCTCGCATTTCGGGGACACCTTTTGAAAAAATGGTCCCGTGTGATCTTGGCGGCAGGTTGTTTTCCACAAGTTGAGATTGCACTCGCTATGATGAACAACAATGAGGGTGGCAGGTTGTTTTCCACAAGTTGAGATTGCACTCGCAATGATGAACGACAATGAGCAAGTCATTCATAGTGAATACAGATGCGCAATTTGGTCCTTCCCCAAAAGTAGATCCTATGGATAGGCATTCCTTACGGATTGCACTATCTTTGCAGCTCTTTTCAAAAAAGCTTCCGATGCTACTCGACCCTTCCAAAGAACGACCATAGTTCTGAGGCTTTTGTGAACTGATGAGCACCTTAAAGCTGTATTTACACAATAGACCAAATTACCATTCGATTTTGCAGATTGCATATAACAATGTCATTGTACATTAGCCATTTTCGCAGCTCTACTTTGGTCTGCGTGGAGCAGTTTACGAAATGAATGAGGCCCAAATCACAGTTGGGATCTTGAGGGATCAGTGCCGGAATGCTTGCTTGTAGCGTGGACTCTCCCTTGTCGTGTGAATGCTGGCAGTGGAGAGATGCGAATTACGTCACATGTCACGTGACTGATATGTCGGTGATCGCGCCCATCGCGTGAAAACAGCTCCAGCCAGCCTTGCCGCCATACGAAATATTTACATCACACGTGCACGTGGTACAGAACCCATACGTGAAGGAAAATGTAAATCTAAGAACTCGTTTTCTTTGTTATACACAATATTAATGAGATGACATGAGAAGACGGACATTAATACCAGAAAGTAAAGGGGATGTTACTAGAAGTAATTGTAATATAAATGTGAAGAAATAAAAATGGACAAAAAAAGAACTTGCTACCGGCAGGAACCGAACCTGGGATATTCAAATAATGCAAGCTCGCATCATAAAGCTGTAAAAGGTTTTAAATTTACGGTCTAGGTAGCAGACGCGATATCTGAAGCATGCATGATAACGACGATGCTTTTCCCGATAGGAAACTGTTAGGTGCAGTTGATAAGAACAGAATCAAATGTGCTATGTTGAGCCGCACGCGGCCGAAGTTGTGCAAAGGCTTACCTGTCGGTGGTTGTGCAAAGGCTTACCTGTCGATGCAACTGCCCTCCTCCTTTACTCAACGAGCTCGCGCAGCGTGTCACAGTCTTTTTCTTTTCCTTGCCTCTGCACTTCATTCGTTAACTCCACTTATCCTCCTCTTCCTTAATGACCTCGCCGCTCGCTCCCCAATGACGCACCCTTCGCACCTCCTTTCAGACGTGCACTCGTTACCGTGATTGTCACAAATATTTTCCAGCAGCTGAATTATAACCGATTTCTTATCTTGGGAGGCTACACAATAAGCGGTATGCGTGTACAAGGGGTTTTATGGGAAAGTGAACGGGAGTAGAAAAAAACCGTATTGTAACCAGTTCTGCACTGTAAGAGGTTATGCTAAAAGTGGTCTACACTGTAATAGCATCCCCTATATTGTATATAATCGCGTAATGAACCCAACTTTCTTTCAAACAAGTTGACGCCGATTCGGGAGGAGGATTCATGAAGTGGGAAAAAAAGTGACAGGAGCTATAACAGCAAAAATTTCACATGACGGTTTTTGCTTGTGTTGGCCCGCGTAATGTGCAATGAATCGTTTTTGTAGCCTGAAGCTCTTGTTTTTTCCTGTAACGGATTGACGCTGAAGTGTCATCCAGCCGCCCGGTTCTTATGCTCGAGCACATGCTGTTTGTAACCAGCTGTGTAGGTAGCATACCGGTTGAACGCGCCCTGCACAGTAGATGTCAAAACTAAGTTCACAAAAGCAATCCCGACAACAAAAACGCAGCTTTGGATGGCAGTGCACAAACCTTATGGTAGACGTTGTGGGTGCATAACACATTGCCGGTGCGTTGGGTGCGGTTGCACTTTGCATGACCTCCTAGATGGCGCGTGTGCGGCGTGTTCTTACGCTGCACACCTGCCATTTCGGAGGCCACGTGCTTTGTTTTTGTGCCTGTGTGCTTGCCTGGCGCTATCAGCAAAGAAATTTCTCCTGCATTCGACAGATGGCGTTTTGCCCCAAAAGGCACGACTTTAAAGTTGCGAAACTATGTTTTGACTTTTATTACATTGTTATTTTGCAATTTGATGGCTTGATTTAATGTTGTTTCAATTGCCAACGGCACTGATTATAATGCCGAATTAAATCCACAGATAGATTTTAAAAAGTTTTTTCTTTTTTCAAGGACCAAAGAGGGGAAGTGGGTTCATTGTTCGAGTAAATATGGTACTTTAAACTCAGATGGGTACGAGTCCAGAAACACTTGCAAGTACTTCTGTGTTTTTGACACTGCCACCGACCTTTAAACTAAACTCGGGGAAACACGCAACTTCCACATCCTAACAAACACAACTGATTCCTAGGCGAGTGTAGTAGGCCCAGCGCACAAAACGCAGGGGCCAGGACAAATGCAAAAGTTGCTACACCTTTCCCTTGTCTTCCTTTGGTATAGTGTAGTGGTTCTCTAATGCGGGTCCGCAAAGCCATTTGTATGATCTGTGAAACCCTCACACACATTTTTCTTTAACGTGACTGTGCCGCGTATTGGTGAACTGTCAAAAATGAAGTGATGTGGCATGTTTGTTTCACGCTCTTGGCAGCAATAAAAGGCACCTGTTTCACGCTCCAGAGTTGTTAATTTACCCAAGAACCTTAAGGACTGGTTGAAGTGATGGGAGACCCTGCTTCAAGGGGTCTCCCATCACTTCAACCAGTCCACAAAGGGTCCCCGACACATCCATGGCTGACAACCACTGGTATAGTGGCTTTTGGCCTTCGCCCTGATGCGCGTTACATACTTAGCCGTACTCTACGGTATGGTTAAAGAACACTATAGGTGTAGTGGCGAGTGCTTTTACACAGCACTGCGACTGTCGCGGCAACAAAAAAGACTGACGTATGCATGTTTTTTTTTTTTTTTTAAGAAAAAGGAAAAAAATGCCTCTGCCGTGGTGGCCATATCTTGGGAGATTCGAGACAGCATTCGTACAATCATGAGATAAGGTCAACATTCGGGATCCTCCAAAATAATTTGGGAGAGTCGGCAGGCATACAATTGTACCACGGCGACTCCATAGAAATACCAGCATGTATTAGCTTATAACAGCAATGTGAATTCCCAGAAGCGTTCTTCCAGAACACAACTCCCCAACTCGCAGGCCCCAGCCTGCACTATCCTCAGGAATTACCAACAAAACAGCAAAACCTGTTTTGTAGATACGGCCTTGTATCCAATCGGTTTCAAATTCACCACAGTTCTTATTAACCACGAAAATGAGCTGAATAAATAAGCCTCAATATCTGCTAAGGACCTGCTCACTAACAAGCTGGTCGAGATTGCACTCGCAATGATGAACGACAATGAGCAAGTCATTCATAGTGAATACAGATGCACAATTTGGTCCTTCCCCAAAAGTAGATTCGCCCCGCAGGCCCTACGCATTCTCCAAAACAAGCGAATTAGTCATCGTGTACTCAATTGGTATCCTGCGCACATTGGGCAGATCCCGTGATGTCAGACGAGGCCTGTCAGCCTGAACCTGTGAGCCCTAAGCATGTTTGTGCACATTATGCATGACATAGAATACAGTAAAACCTCGTTAATTCAAAGCCACTGGGGCCACAAGAAATCTTCGAGTTAAGCAAGTTTTCGTATAAACAGAACATACAGAAAATGAGATATAAAGAACTTGCAATTCTTCGAAACATCGAAGGCTGATCATTTTCTGTGCCGGCTAGTTCACACCTCCAAGGGTTATGTTTTCTCGTAATACCTGACATTAATTTTTGCCAAAGACACAGTGGAACGGTGGGCCTCGCTGCTGCCCCCATAAAAAAAGCAAGCCGCCGAGAACAGTCCACGTGAGCCACATCGGCTTCTTGTACTGAAGATCGAGACTGCCACATAGGCGTAATATTAGAGGCCTATGTCACGTAAACAAGGATGTTCTGCATTCACAATGACTGGCAACTACACGACAACGGCAAAGAAGGAAACACTCATTGAGAGCATCAAGATCACTGACCTAGATGCAAACCAACACAGGCTACGGCTATTAACCTCTCGAAGAGAAGTCAAGTAAAAGCGGCGCCCAGTGCCTCAGTTATGAGAAGACTAGAATGATAGAACCCTCCAAGTATTATAACTGCTCAGGTAGCAGTGGTGTGTTTAATAAATGTGTTTTGCTGTTAACAGGGTTTGGCTTGAGCCCATCATCTCAACCCCCTCAAATCCGTGACAATTGCATACAATAATTTTGGTAATAGTATCTCACTTGTGTACTTTAAATACCTCGTGCCCAAGTATTTTTTACCGTATCGAGATACAATTTTAATGCATCTATGCCCATCCACGCAGACATGGTCCCATGTGATGACATGCCAGAACAACCACCACTGAAAGAGAGACTTTTCAAGTTTTGCACACACACAAAAAAAGAAAAAAAACTGAATCAAATAATACAAGACTTATGAAACAGTCACTGTTTCATTCTTCACATGAGCAAACATGCCATGCCTGACACTTCATAACGCTTGCAATCACACTGAACAATCCCTTAAATGGATTTTGTAACTGTGCGTAGCGGTCAATGGGCTTATCTCTTGAGAAAAAAAAATAAACCAGCTTTTTTGAATACTAGAAGTGATAAAAGTACACACAGTCTATGAGGAAGGAATTTTACTGACCTCGCATGTGTGTACGACTCCCCAAGGAGAATCCTCCGAGCGGTGCTCGACAGTCAGTCAGAGGAGATGATAGCCTTTGTGAAAATTGGAAATCAGAGCTTGTCTTAGTTGTATGATTGGGGATCGAAATGTCACAAACATAACGAGGCATATTAAGAAAAAAAACTGGCCCCGTATTCGGATGTTAATATGCAAATGTCGTCGAAAAACGATAGTCTTGCGTGTGGTGAGCGTGAACAAAACATTTATTTGATGTTCTGCGCAAAAAACTGGTGAATGGTATTCTGGAGGCGCTGCGTTAGAGTGCCTCATGCGTGCAGCGGAGGCGAATGAGCGCATCAAGTCGCGTCACACGTGAGACATGAGTGCTATCTGGCAGTTTTGGAAAACGAAGCGCATGGCTCCGAGACGAGCGTGCAAACCCGTTTCAGAGGTGATAAGGTGTAGAACGCAAGGCGCCGGGTAGGTGCCACCACCGTGCCGTCTTAGCAAAGCGTTGGAAACACTCGCCTTTTCGTGCAAGCATTACATAGTCAGAGCAGCGTGATAAACGCTACGGTCCTTAAAATTACTTATGTATGCCTTTTCTAGTAAAAGACGCCCATACAGAATATATAAGTGTTGTTATGGTGCCTCAGATATGCACAATAATTGCTTTTTAATTGACAATTGCACAAGTATGAACGCTGAATCTTGAGCAACATTGGTGGGCACTGCGAATGGGGTTGGCCGTTTGGGGTATTTGCTAGTGCCGTTCGGAGTACCCGGTATTGTTCAGGTTGGACAGACAAATGTACAGACAGACAGACAGATTAAAATTTTTGCGTCGAAGGTCCTCTAGAAAGACTATCGTCTTTGAATAGTTATCAGTGTCCTTTACATTTAGGCCGAAGTTTTATTTTATTTTCACCAAAACAGCTACAATGGCGAAAAATGGGGAGACGGCAAAAAAGCTGCAGTTATTGCAGCTTGACTAAGCACCGTCCCCCATACGTCAGCAATGACAGGGTGAAAACGAAATACAATAAATTGAAAAAAAAAAAACAAATATAGAGCAGGAAACAATTCAAGCAGAAGACAAAGTATGTGACAGGCCAAGGTATACAAACAAAAAGGAACATTTAATAAACACATGAGCACAGTAATTCGTAAAGTATGTATCATCGCTTTCATACATAAGAAGGAAAAGGTACACAATGAGGTTACACAAAAGAAATAATAGGGAAAAAAATATATAAAGGTACACAATAAATGATGCAAAGCAATACAGAGTGACCTATGTAAACAGTACAAATCTACAAGAATAGTGTTTGCACATCGATATTGTTTAATGTGTCCATTTTTATGTCTTGCTGCTCGTATGAGTTCAATATAGTAGATAGCATGTGGCTAAGTCTTAGGGTGCCGTAATTGGTGCGAGATAATAGAATTTTCCACCAGGATTTATATCCATGGAAGTAAATGGTTTGTGTATGTTCAAGATTTGCAAGTGTTAGGAATGCGTCTAGTTTCCCTCTGTTTGCGCTAATATAGGATTGTAACAACCTGAATTTGTATATGTCATTTGCCTTAACAATTTTTGTTTAAGAAAGAGTTGCCAAAAGCGCCAATTTATACCGCCCAACACGATGGGTAGCATACCAAACACTAATGCTGTAAAAAAAAAAATGGCCCTGGATCTGCATGTTACACAGCAAATGTCGTCGAAAGACGATAGTCTTGCGTTTGGAGAGAGTGAACAAAACATTTATTTGATGTTCTGTGCAAGAAAATCGGTGAATGGTATTCTTGAGGCGCTTTGCCCCGCCGCGGTGGTCTAGTAGCTAAGGTACTCAGCTGCTGACCCGCAGGGCGCGGGTTCGAATCCCGGCTGCGGCGGCTGCATTTCCGATGGAGGCGGAAATGTTGTAGGCCCGTGTGCTCAGATTTGGGTGCACGTTAAAGAACCCCAGGTGGTCTAAATTTCCGGAGCCCTCCACTACGGCGTCTCTCATAATCATATAGTGGTTTTGGGACGTTAAACCCCACATATCAATCAATCAATCAATCTTGAGGCGCTTTGAAGTGCCTCGAGCGTGCAGCGGAGGCGAACAAGCACATCGAGGCACGTTAGACACGAGCGCCATCTGGCAGTTATTTTTGAAAATAAAAGAAGGCGTGCGCGCCTAAGGAAAAAGATGCGAGCCATTCTCGGAGGCGATAGGTTGTAGAATGCAAAGCAACGGACATCTGCCACCACCGTGTTATTTTAGCAAAGCGTTGGTAACACTTTCCTTTTTGAGCATCGCGTTGCACTGTAAGCGCAGCGTGTTCAACGCTGCACTGTTCGTGTAAAGACCGTAGCGTGTTCAACGCTACGGTCCTTAGAACTACTTGTGTGTGCCTTCTCTAGTATAAAGGCACACATACAAAACATCAACGTATTATTATGGTACCTCAGATATGCGAAATGATCGCTTTTTATTTGACAATTACAAAAGTATGAACGCTGCATATTGAGCAATATTGGTGGGCGCTGGAGATGAGGTCGACTGTTTGAGGTATTGTTAAGGCTTACAAAAAGACAAATGAGCAGACAGACAGAAAGACCAAAAGTTTTTCGTCGAAGGTCTCCAAGAAAGACTATTGTCTTTAAAACTGTTCTTGTTATTAAAGTCACTGGGTCAGCTTCACTAGGAGCATTTCCAAATATAGAAGAAACTACATGTATGCAAGAAAGCAAAAGTGCATCAATATCCATAGTAAAGTCACCACAGTAATTCTTCCCTCATTTACAATAAAACATTTTTTTGTCAAGCGGGAAATTCGATGGCTTATGATTTTGTGAATCTTATTATGATAGGGCATCTCTGCTGAAAAAGTCACAAGGATGAGCTTTAAAAAAAAATTTGTTTACAACTAGAATTCAAAATTTCTGTATCTGGGTCTATGGAGTATAATCAAATACAGCTACAGCATAAGACTGTTGTAATGATGCAGTGGTAGTCCAGCCAATTTGTAGCGATTTTCAGGGCAGAAATATAGTGCTTAAAAACAGCTCTAGAGCAGGAAAGATAGAGTTTCATATCACTTGGAGCACTACAAATCTATTTGCAATTTTTTATTCTATATTTTTATTCAACCAGAAAATGCTGCCCTAATGCAAGCAGCAAGATAATACCAGCAGTAACAGTCAGTCTGTTACTTTACAAGACATTGTCACCTTGTCCTTGCCTTCAACACTCAACAAGGGTGTATCTCTCACTCTCTCTCTCTCTCTCTATATCTATATATATATATATATATATATATATATATTATAAAGGAGATTTATTAAGCAGAAAGGTTGATGCTTGGAAGGCTTGGAAGGCGATGCACCAGCCGCAATTTCCGAGCTCGAGCCGCTGCTGCACACTCGATGCTGCTGCCTCTGCACCGGAGAAAAAAGGAGCCATCCTGGCGACTTAGTCCTGGGCAGGCGGCGTTGAACCGTGATATTGCTTGAGCCTCTGGACGTGTACAACCTCGCGGTTGCGACGTCGCAAGTCTGATGGTGGCGTAAGAGGCTCAATGAGGTAGTTTACTGGCGAAGTTTGTTCGACAATACGATATGGCCCATCGTACTTTGGCAGAAGCTTGGAAGAGAGCCCAGGTGTGCGATGCGGCACTGACAGCCAAACAAGAGAACCCGGAAGAAAAACGGGAGTTGAGGTCTGGGCATCATGAATTGCTTTTTGCCTGTTTTGGTCATCGCAGGTAAAGCGACGAGCTAACTGGCGGCATTCTTCTGCGTGTCTGGCGGCGTCCAAGATCGGTAGGCACTCGGACGCGTCTGGTCGATAGGGCAAAATGGTGTCAATGGTGTGGGAGGGGTGACGGCCGTAGAGGAGGTAAAAAGGGGAGAAGCCTGTTGTCGCTTGCGTTGCCGTATTATAGGCATATGTAATGAATGGGAGAACTAAGTCCCAGTTAGAGTGGTCAGGCGTCACATACATAGATAGGATGTCACCGAGAGTACGATTAAAGCGCTCGGTAGCCACATTGGTTTGTGGGTGGTAAGCGGTACATGTGCGACGTACAATAGCACACTCAGCGAGCAATTTTTCAATGACCTCGGACAAGAAGGCGCGGCCGCGGTCACTGAGGAGTTCTTGAGGGCCTCCATGACGCAACACAAAATGACGCAGTAGGAAAGTGGCAACCTCCTGTGCTGTAGCCGTTTTAAGAGCAGCGGTCTCAGCATAGCGCGTTAGGTGGTCGATAGCAACTATTATCCACCTGTTGCCAGTCGGAGTCAATGGAAGTGGCCCATAAATATCTATTCCAACCCGTTCGAAGGGTCGGGAAGGGCACGGTAAAGGCTGCAGTTCACCCTGCAGAGGCGTGTGGTGTAGATTTTCGGCGCTGACATTCGGCACAAGAGCGGACGAAGTTGCGGACGAAGGTATACATGCCACGCCAGTAGTAGCGATGTCGAAGCTTTTCGTAGGTCTTGGAAGACTCCTGCGTGGCCACATTGTGGGTCAGCGTGAAAAGAGGAACAAATCTGCGACCTCAGGGTTTGTGGAACGACGAGCAGCCACTTGCGTCCCTCTGGTGCGTAGTTACGTCGATAGAGAAGCGTGTCACGTATCGAGAAGTGTGGAACTTGGCGCCGAAGCGTTCGCGTCTTTGGGAGTTCAAAAGTGTTGGAGAGATGATTGAGGAGAGACGCAGTCCACGGGTCATTGCGTTGTTCGATAGCAATGGTGTCAAAGTCAAGCGATGACAACGTGGAATCGCAAGCGGAGTCAGCTGTGGCATTCTCGGACAGGGGGGAACGGGAAAGTGCGTCGGCGTCAGCATGCTTCCGTCCTGACCGATAAACCACGCGTATGTCGTAATCTTGAATTTTCAACGCCCAGCGAGCGAGGCGGCCAGATGGGTCTTTTAACGTCGAAAGCCAGCACAGCGCGTGGTGGTCGGTCACGACGTCAAAAGAACGACCATATAGATATGGGCGAAACTTTCCAAGGGCCCACACAATGGCCAAGCAGTCCTTTTCTGTGACGCTGTAGTTGCTCTCAGCCTTGGTAAGTGTGTGACTAGCGTATGC